CTTTCCCTCACTTCCATTCCTTTTGCAATTCCAGGCAATTCTCTCCAGTTGGGTCTAGGTCTTCCAGAGCCTCTGGGATAAGGCTGTGTGATGTCTCTGCTTTTCTCAGAGCAGAGTAAACCGGCTCTGTTGCAAGCCTCATCTACACCTGTGTGTGGGTCCACCCACGCAGCTCATGCCAAGGGGGAGGACAGGTTCACCCCAAGGACCCCACGGACTGAGTAACGACAAGGGTGCCCTGCAGCACCCATGTCATATGCTTTCCAAATTGTGGCCACCCTGTGCAGGCTGAGACAGCTGCGGAAACCCACCACATGGACCAAACCCAAGAAGGGAGAAAATTTGCCTCTTGCAAAAAATTAGCTTACAAAACGGATGTTGACAGGCCTCCCTTTCTCTCCCCCGCCCATCGTGCTCTGCAGGCCCTGCTCGTCACCCTCACCTTCAGAGGAAGCAGATTTAATGTCCCAACTGAGAGAATGAGATGTTCTGTTACTTTTCATGGGAAATTAAACCCGACCCTGCTGTCAGTTAGCTCATGCCAAGGGAGGATGGATGGCCCCAGGTGCGGTGCTTGACCCCAGCTCGGAGCACATTGCCTGGCTGGAGGCCAACCATGATGTCACCTGCCGCTGGGCGGGGGTGGGGACAGCAGGACAGGTTGGAGAGCCTTCATCTGGGTGATGGATGGCGGTGAGACCAGCCTTGGTGTCACCCACAACGGTCCAGCTCTGATGCCGGCTGGGACCCACTCATACAGGGGACACTCAGGCTGCTCCCGTCTCTTTCAGCTCCCAACGCTACCTCGTGTCCCACTGAGGAAAGCTGGTGGTCGGGGCCGGTGATCATCATCGCGGTCTGTTGTGCCTCCCTGGTGTTTCTCACTGTGCTTGTCATCATTTGCTACAAAGCCATAAAGAGGTGAGTGCTCACCCAGCTCTGAGCCCAGAGGGGAGCCCAGCTGGGCTCAGGGGCCCTCTGCTCACCCCCTTTCTGTTTTTGTTTTTTTTTTTTTTAATAATAAAAATTGTTAAGCGCTTAAGAAGCAGAAAGAATGTACAATGAACGCCCATCTACCTTCACCCTGATTCAACAGTTATCAAGATTTGGCTAATATTTACTCTCTTTCCTTTTCTTTGTATCTTTTTATTTGCTGAAGTATTTAAAGTTGATCTCAGATATTATGCCCCTGTCATTTTAGGGGGTTCAGCGAGCAATCTGATGAGCGCCAATTATATGTCAGGCTCGATGCAGTATAAAGCTCCCCTATCCGTAAGTCGCAGGCCCTGCTGTCAAGAGCTCCCTCCAGGCCTGGGAGTATGGAAATAATCCTTGCAGGGTGGGTGATGGAGCGGCTGGAGGGGGTGCCATGCTGGTTTGGAGTGGGAACTGGGTTTCGGAGTCCGATCTAAATTCAGACTCCAGTTCAAGCTGTGTGACCGGGAGGAAATCAGCTCTCTGGCCCTCAGTTTCCCTATTGGTAAAATGGGAGTAAAGAATAACGGTCTCACCCTGGGGAATGGTGAGATGCCTTCTGTGAATGGCCTGCATGATATGTATACTCGGCAGTGCCTGGCATACAGTATGTATGCACCAAGTACTGGACCAACTTTCACTGTTTCCATAGTCAAAGACAGAGGAAGGGGCTTCCCTGGTGGCGCAGTGGTTGAGAGTCCGCCTGCCGATGCAGGGG